TGGCTCCCTATTACCTGCCCACATCCCACCCACCTTCTTACACCTCACCACATATGCTCTTTGATTCAACAAGACTGGACTCCTTTTGATTCTTCAAATAAGGCACTCTATCTCCTGACTCCAGGCATCCTGTCTGTCCCCCATGCATGGAAGGCTCTCCCTCTTCATCTCCACATCCTGGCTTCCCTGGCTTTCAAGTCCTAGCCAAAATCCCATCCACAGATAGTCTTTCCTGATCCCTCTTAATTTTAGTGCCTTCCCTCTGTTGATGATTTCTCATTTATCCTGAGTATAACTCATTTGTGTATATTTGTTTACTTGTTGTCTCCCCTATTAGAATGGGAGCTCCTTGAGGTCAGGCATTGTCTTTTACCTTTTTTGTATTCCTAGCACTTAACACGATGCCTGGTATATAGAGCACTCTTATTAGGCATTTAGAACATTTTTTTCATAGGAATATTGATAGCTTTGATTTCTTCCTCTGAAAACTGCTTGTTCATATCCTTTTACTATTTATCATTTGGGGAATGGCTTTTATTTTATACATTTGGCTCAGTTCCCTACATGTTTGATAATTGAGACCTTTATCAGAGAAACTTGCTGTGAAATCCCCCCATTTTTATATTTTTTTCCTAATTTTGCTTGTATTGATTTTGTTTGAGCAAAACCTTTTTAACTATATGTAATAAAATAATCCATTTTACCTCCTGGGAACCTCTCTATCTCTTGTTTTCTCGTGAACTCTTCCTCTATCCATACATCTGACAGATAATTTCTTACATACTCCTCTAATTTACTTATGATATCACCCTTTAGGTCTAAATTACATACCCATTTTAAGTTTATCTTGGCATATGGTGTGAGATATTGGTCTACAACTCATTTCTGCCAGACTACTTTCCAGGTTTCCCAGCAGTTTTTTTTAATCAAATAGTGAATTCTTGCCCCAATAGTTGGGATCTTTGGGTTTATCAAGTACTAGGTTACAGTGCTCATTTGCTTCTATATATTGCATATCTAATCCATTCCATTGATCAATAATTTTATTTCTTACACAGTACCAAATTGATTTCAAGATTATGTCTCTGTAATATAGTTTAAGATCTGGTACTGCTAGGCACCCTTCCTTTATGTTTAAAAAATTGATTTCCTTGATATTCTTGACATTTTGTTCCTCATTGAAGGTGCTTTCATAATGGGCATTGCCTTAGTCAAACTGAGACCTGTTAAAGACCTTAGCTTTAAAGGACCAAGGTCTCCCACTACATTCGGAGCCATCTCCAGTCATCCTGATCTATATCTTGCTATATCTAGAACCCAGATGGTTCTAGAGGAGAAAGTGAGGCAGGTGACTTTGCACAGTCCTCCCTCACTTAAATCCAATTCACTTGCAAGTCATGGCATCATCTTCCTGACGTCATGGTCCTCTTCAAGAACAAAGGACAAACAACAACAACAACTGACTGACTGAGAGTGAGAGAAGATAAGTGATTAAGCTCAGGAACACGCAGCTACTGTCTGTGGGTGGATTTGAACTCCGTTCTTCCTGACCCTAGGTTCAATGCTATATCTATTGCACCATCTAGCTATGAAAAAAACTATCTATTTTTTTCTCATCTAAGTTTGTGGATCCTCTGAAAATTATCTAGTCATCCTTTGTGGGTCTGTGAATGCTTCTGATTTAAAGGATTCTTCATCTGGTAGAGTTATACAAAAAAACATGAGGCTTGTAATCTGGGGATCTGGGCTTGACTACTCCGCTATTGACTCCCTTAGAGAGAGGAAGCTACCTGGCACAGTGGATAGAATGCTGGTCTCCGAGTGTCTGACACTGGTCAGATACTGACTAGCTGTGGGACCCTGGGCAAGTCACTTAACCTCTGTCTGCTTCAGTTTCTTCATCTGTAAAATTGGGATGATAATAGTATCTACCTCCCAGGGTTATTGTGAGGATCAAATGAGGTAATTATCACATAGTACTTAGAACAGTGTCTGGCACATAGTAGGTGCTTAATGAATGCTTGTTTCCTTTCTTCTTTTCCTGAATAAGCCCCACCCTCTCTTCCCTTGTTCCCCCCATCCTCTGCTCCCAGCAAGTTATTTTTCTGGAACTCAGCTTCTTCATTCATAAAATGAGGGTGATGGATTACATGATTTCTAAGTCTTTCTAGCTTTAAAGCCTACGATCCTAATGACACCAAGGATGCCCTTGGTGACTCTCTGGAAATACAAGTAGTGCATGCATGCGTGCGTGTGTGTGAAGCTCACTTCTTAGATCTAAAATCTTTGTTGGGCTACAAGCATAGGTTTCAACATGTTCCAGAAATTTCTATTGATGCTATTGGGTTTCCTGTCTCCATCCGTCAACTTGGGGGCTCTCTAAAGGCAGTACCATCATCTCCTCCATCACATGAGGATCTCCCATAATAGTGATAACAAACACAAATCAGTCACATTTTTATAGTGATCTTCACTTTACAAAAGCACTTTCCTCACAACAACCCTGTGAGAAAGACAATGCACGTATGTCCATTGTGCAGGGGCTGTGCCTTTTCCTCCTTCTCCTGTTCCTTTCCCTGGAACATGTCTACACACCAGGGGCACTGGGTCATTGACTGCTGGACCGGTGAGAAAGAAACTTGAATAACTGTGAAGCTCTAGAGAGGCTGTGGGTTCTAAGCTCTATCCTATATGTACCTCTAGATTCTCAAGCATCAGTGCCTACCTCCTTTAGGCCTCTACTGATTTAGCCTGTAAAGTGGTGCTAAATCCACCACACTAACTTTCAAGGCTAAAAACACAACCACTCTTTAGCTTGAAGTTGAGACTAAATCATAGCCAGAAATTTAGGCAGAGCCTGAATTTAGCCAGAAATTTAGGTGGATCCATTGCATATGTGTTTAGACAGTGGTTGTGGGAATTGTCTAGTTTGGGATAGAATTCCCTGGAAAAAGGAGGTTGGGCCTTCTTATACGGAGCATACAGTAGAATCCATAATGAATCCAAGAACAGAAAACTTTAGCCCTGACTCTTTTGGTTCTGGTTGTACTATACTATTATATTTGCATTTTCATTACAAGGGAGGGAAGGCAAGAGAGTGATCAGCTTCTAGATTTATAGATTCTTGTTCATCTCTTGTTATTTCTAGTCTCCTCCGTTCTGCATATTCATCATCATTAAAGGACTCTTCCCTTACATTCCTGGGACACCCAAGCAAGGCTGAACTCAGGAATCCTCTTAAGATCCCCTCCTGCCTTAATTATTCCTGATACTTGACCTGACATTTACCACCCCCTTCTTAACAATGTGCACTTTATTCTTAGTACTTAGATAAGACAATTTGTGAGAAATTTTTGCATATTTCAAAATTATCCCTACTTCCCATTCCCATGATAAGCCATTTCCCCGACCCACATAGCCCACAACTGTGTCCATGTCACCCCTTCTGCTCAAGGGGTATTTCTAAGTTCTTGGTTCCAGGTGACTGAAGCAGGTAAGATTCAGAGTAAAAATAGGAGCAGCAAGTCTGGAAGTGACTTTTAAGGGACAGCTGCCGCAGATATATTAATAAATGGGACCTAATCTAGAAGGCAGCAGGGGTAGTGAATTAGGGGTCCCCTAATTCATTAACTTGCTAAATTTCCTTCTCTGGTCCCAAATTTCCTTAAACCAGTCCCCAACCTGATCTACTATGGGGACTTCCTATTGCTTCTATAATAAAATATAAATTCTTCTATTTAGAATTTAAAGTCATTTTCAACCTTGCTTCTATCTATATTTCCAGCCTCACTGGAAATATGGATTTATTTCCCTCCTAGAATTATTCAGTTTAGTCAAACTAGACTTCTTTCTGTTCCTCACATACAACATTCCATTTCCTATCTCCATGTGTTTGCATTGGTTGATCCCCATGCTTGAAATGCATGCCTTCATCTTCTCCACCTACCAGAGTCTCTCTCTCTTCCTTCAAGACATGTCTCAAGTGCCCCTTTCAGCCTCGTTCCCAAACTACCTTGGATTTAAGTACTTTGTATTTACTTGTATTTATTCTCTTGATATTGCATTCTGCATAAAATCATATATGTATTTATTATCTTTTCCATTAGAATGTAAATTCCTTTATAAGTAGGGATTGTTGCATTCTTTTTGCTTGTATCCCTAGTGCCCAGTAAGGTGCTTGGCACATAGTTTATACTTAATAAGTGCTAATTGAATTATTGATCCATAAAATGACATGGTTAGACTGGTTAACCTGTCCAGCTCTTTCAGCCCCAAATTCTATGACTGTGGCTTTCACTGGTTCGTGTAGAGCATGAGGCACAGAGAAAAGGAATCAATCAGCACTTTGGGCTATGGAAAACACCCATTCCTGAGGAGCACAATTCTAAACAAACAGCCTTCCAGGGACACATAAATATGTCTCAGAGTCTCCTTGGGTGAGGCTAGGAGGAGGATGAAAAGGGATTGCTTTCATCCCCTTTTCTACCCTTACTTGGCTATGAGTTCTCTAATTTGTTCTTGACTATGGGACAAATCCTTGAGAGATGAGGGTGAGGCAATTGGCAAGTAGGGCTTGTGCATGAGCTTTGGCCAAGGATAGATGCTGCACTTTCTTCATTCAGAACTGTAGGATGTTTGAGCTTAAAAGGACTTTAGAGAAAAGTAAGTTTAATCTCATTTTACAAATGAGAAAATGGAATTCCAGAGAGTTACACACAAATCAGGAGCAGAACTGAGGTCAGAACAGACAGACTGACTCCCAGAACAGTGTCTACGACACCTACTTTCCCTTCATTATCTGAGCCTTGAAAAGGAGGAATTCAGTGGAGTTAATATGTAGTAGCTCCCTGGCTTCAGAGGCAGCTCATTCCCACCAAGCTCTGAATCCAAGGCCAGGCCACACAAGGAGCTCAGTCTTCCTTGTTTCTCTTGATTTTTCTCTAGCCCCCTCTTCCCATTCCCTCTCCCCAACTTCTCCCTCGACTCCCAATTCTCCCTACCTTTCACCAATGGGAAGAAGCAGTCCATCTCCACACTGCTTCGGGAATGGGATATGCAGAGGGCACTGCTGGGGACCAGACCCTCCTGCGGGGGGCTTCGTTCTGTGGTTCGGACTAGACACCAGCCAGGTCGCTCACTGGGTCTCTCCAACAGCTCCACGGTCTGCCCCACCTGAATGGTCAACTCACTGCTGTGGCCAGCACTGAAGTCCTGGAGCACCACGGTCAGCTCACATCCTCCAGAGAGCTGTGGGTGGGGTAAGGGTGGAGATAGAGGGTCAGAAGGAGAGGAAGAGAGGGGACAGGAGAGGCCAGAATGGAGGGAAAAGTGAGATTGTGGGGAAGGAGGAAGGGTAACGAGGTAGGGGAGGTGGGAAGGAGAAAAGGATACAGGGGGTAGGGTTAGGGGGGATGGTGAAGGGGATTCAGTGAGAAAGAAGGGTGTAAGGGAAAAGGAAGAAGTGAAGCAGAGGATAAGAAAGAGGGGGAGATGGGAGAAAGGGTACAGGGCAGGAGAGAAAAATAAGAAAAGAGAAGAAATTAAACAGGGTACTCCATCATCCAGACAAGCATTCAAACCCTCTAGCTGTATTTGAACCAAGAGTCTGGACCCTTCCCGAGTTAAATTTTTGTCTACTATTCATCCTTGGTTGGTTGAAATTGTTCTTCCTTGTTCCTTTTGCCTAGTCTCCACCTAATTGTGCCTTTAAAAGCCTTCCAAGACACAGTCCTTGACCTCCTCCAAAGGCTTTGCCCATCTCTACACCCACCAGCTCAGCTTTACTAAGGTCCATTTCTAATGAAACTCCTTCATACCCCCAAACAAGCACACACAGGCACAAGTCGACCAGAATTTTTGGAGACAATAGGGGAAAAAGATGGTTGTAATATTCTGCTGGTCACCCATGTCTCTTTGCACCCATCAGTCAAAAACAGTGCCTGAAGGAGACGCATTAGAGAATAAGGCCCCTACTCAGCAACAAGAGACAAACAATATTTTTCCATAAGTGGGAAACAGATTCATATGACTTAGTTGCAGGGGACTTGGGGAAGGGATTAGTAAGAAAGAGATTCATTTTTCATTTAGGAACAGACTGTTCCTTCCCTTTCTTCTGCCCTAGCTCTAGCTAGGGGGAGGGATGACATTTCCCCCCAAGACTAATTTTGATGTAGAACAAATAAACATGAATTGAGAGTATGGGGAAGAGAAACCAAGTTCAAATGGTGGGAAACTGAATTTTCTAAAAAGCATTTAAGATACAGATACTCAAACTTTGTCATCCTATCCTATATATCCAGCTTCCAAAATCCTTGCTTCCCCCCCCACCCCAAATCCTCCACTCCATCATCACTTCTCAAGTAAAATCTCCAAGTTTGTCCACAGATACCATCACTAAGCAGTGGGTTTTCCTCTTGGTATTGTAGTAATACTTACAGGTTTGGGAGGGGGTTGAGGAAGGACTGAAGGATTGGGTTAGGTTGAGGAAGGATTGAAAGAAGGGGTTAGGGAACAAAAGGAGATCAGTCCAAAGGCTTTATATAGTCTAGAGTTTACTACCACTGTTACTGTCAAACAGCATTTCAGAACTCTGTAGCTCTGATATTCATTCATTAATTCGCCATAATTTAAGATCTCTCTATACAAAACACTGTGCTATGTAGTCAGCTGTATATGAAAATCTGTATGACATAGTTCCTGTCATTAAGAAGATAAGACCAATACACAAACAAATATAAAACAAAGGAGCTTAAGAGATGCAAAGAAGTAAGGCCTTATGGTAGAGTGGAAAGAATTAAAGGATCTGGGTTCAGGTACTGCCCCTGAGGCTTAACCACTGGTGTGATCTTAAGCAAGTCACTTAATCTCTCTAAAATTTAGATTCCTTATGTAGGAAATGAAGGAGTTAGATTAGATAGCCCCTGATGTCCCTTCTGGTTCCAAATCTATGATCCTCTCAGTGCTAGGACAATTCAGAGGATGGACAGCTCACCACTGGCTGGGCTGTGGGGGTGGTAAGGCAGTATCAGGAAAGGCTTCATGGAAGAGATGGCATTTGAACTGGAAAGGTTTCAACAGGCCAAGGTGATTGATACACTCCAGGTATGAGGAATGGTGTGAATAAAGGTGAGGTGGTGGAAAAGTTATAGATGTCTTCAGGGAATGGGGGGCAGACTAGTTCTGAGTGTAGAGTGTAGTTTAAATGAAGAGTCGCTGCATGCACTCCCTGGTCTTGGCCTCCACCATCATCATGTTCCCAGAAAACCTCGTCACCACTAAGCTTATCCTATAAGATTGTACCAGGTTTGGTACTCAGACCTCTTCAGTACCCTCAGAACCCTCTGCCCCTCTTATTGGAGGGCAGAACAAAGAACTCCCAAAGAGTCCATTGAAAGAGGGCTCACAGATCAGCCAACTCTTCATTTCCCACTAGCTGCATTCTGATTAGATTCTACCATGCCCCCATGCCAGGTACCTTCTCTTCCCCTTCACCCCCCACATCCCCTTCAGCTTTCTTTTTGTGTTATTTTCCCCCATTAGATTGTAAGATCCTTTGCTCTCAGAAAAACATGGAAAGACTTACATGAACTGATGCAAAGTGAAATGAGCAGAACCAGGAGAACACTGTACACAGTAACAATAATATTGTATGATGATCTACTATGAATAACTGAGCTATTCTCAGCAAAACAATGATCCAAGACAACTCTGTAGGATTTTATGATGAAGGGTGCTGTCCATCTCCAGAGAAAGAACTGGTAGAGGCTGATTACAGATCAAAAATACTTTTTCTTCACTTTATTTTTCTTGTTTTTTGTTTGGTCTGTGTTTTCTGTCACAGAATGACTTACATGTAAATGTGTTTTGTATGACTACACATGTATAGCCAATGTAAAATTGCTTGCTTTCTCAATGTGGGAGGAGGGGAGGGAGGGAGAGAACTTGGAAGTCAAAATTTGAAAAAAAAAGAATGTCAAAATTGTTTTTACATGTAATTGGGAAAAAAATAAAATATTACATAAGAAACAAAAAATATTGTAAGATCCTTAAGGACAGGATTTGTGTTTATGTTTGTTATTTATACTCAGTGCTTAGAACACATAGCAGATACTTAATAAATGTTTATTGATCGACTAACTGAGAAAAGGCTGAAATGATAGGAAGGCAATGGATAGTAGAGGGTTTTGAATGCCAGGCTAAGGAGTTTGTATTATTTAGTAGGAAATGGGGAGTTGTTGACTATTTTTGAGGAGAGGAGTGCTACAGTTAGAGTTTTGCTCCAGGGAAGATTAAGAAGCTCAGAGACACAGGCTAATAGACTGATGGATTGCTAGAGTTAGAGTTAGAAGAGCCATCCAAGGGCATTTAGTCTAATCCCTTCAATTTACAGCAGAGAAAATGGAAGACCAGTGAGATTAAGTGAGTCAGTTTCATAGACATAGTGAATGACAAGGCTTGGACTTAGATTCCGGGCTTCTGACTTTTAAGTCCCTTGTTTTTTCAATGGTCAGTGGAAAGAGTATTGAATGCTTGTCCTAGATGATCTTGAAGGTCTCTTGTGCCTCTAATACATATAATCTGATTTTGGGGGGGTGGGGGTGTGTGAAATGAAATAATTTACAAGGAGAGTCTGGAGCAGGGAGATGTGTTAGGTTATACCAAGATGAGTGTTAGAATGAAGATGGAGGCCATAAGAATGTTATGGGAAGGATGGAGAGGAGAACTACTTCACAGTTCAAATGGACAGGACTTGTAAACTGATTGAGGAATGATGGTAAAATGTAAAGGACACTGATTTCGGAGTCAGAGGACTTGGCTCTTGGCTCTGCTCTTTACTGCCTGCTGACTTTTGGCAAGTCACATTAGCTTCTCCAAGTCTGTTTCCTCATGTGTAGAATGAGGGGATTGTACTGGGTGGATCCTGGGGTCCTTTCCTGCTCTGAGTCTAGTGTCCTATGACCAATGATTCTATGACTGGATGTAGAGCAAGAAGATGAGGTCAAGAATACTTGAACAATTGGAGCCTGGGTGACCAAGAGAATGGTGGAATCATGAATAGAAACAGAAAAGTTAGGAGGAGTCCACAGCCAACTTGGGTTGGAATATGTAGATGACCATGTTAACTAGAGAGGATGTGCTTGGGAAGAGGTCCTCTGAAAGGCCTTCTTAGTTGAGAAGCAAAATGACAGAAGAGGTTCTGTATGGTATAGCTTTTGGGGTACTGTTTCATTGAGAGCAGAAAGGACATTTGAGGTTAGTAAGAGGAGGGGCAGGAGTAGAGTCA